TGTATGTATCATACCTGTGGATTCCCTGTGGAAGCTGGAAATCACTGTACTAGTTGCAGCAACTACAGTGATCACCACTGTTTTCCTGGTCCTTTGCCGATTGACTGCCCTGCTGCACATTACCACAGGGGGTCATCTGCTCTATATGGTTGTCATTCACAGAGTGCTTCACATTTTTCTCACTGAATGCAAGGCATTTACTAATTGGATGAGGTGAAGAAATGGGGTGGTGTCATCCTGATCTCCACTTTTTCCATCCAGAGAATGCCTTACATTCACTGAGAAAAAGGCAAGATGTTCTGTGAATGGCACCGATGCCAAGCAAGTGACTACCTGTGATCATTATGCAGCAGGGCAGCTGTTCGGCATGGGATCCGGAAGACAGCGGTGATCGCAGTAGCAGATAATACTACAGTGAATTACAGTTTCCACAAAGATCTCACAGGTATGGCATCTGCATGGTTACACTGTTCCAAGTTGGACCAATGTAACTATGCTATAAAATCCATACCTAGAATTCAGCTTTAAAGAGACCCTTTGTCACAATACCTTTTATTTCAACAAAAATCTTTCCATGTGCGTTTATATGCGTATGCAAAGTATGCATATTCCATTTACCTGTAAAAGCCTTGATAATGCTGCTAGGCACCACTATCTTTAATGTGATATCAACAGCCCCAGTAGACAGAGCTGCCACTCAAGTGCTATTCTATAGTATTCCCCTCTTGTCTCTCTCCTCGCTGCTACAAAAAAGGTCAAGTAGGAAGATGAAGAGAGGGGAGGAGATGATGGGCCTGCACAGAGACTAATTAGACACTCCCAGAAGAGAAGAGGGCTATGATGTGCTAGGAGGGAGGTAGCTGTGCTAGGAAATTCATTCTTCCATATTTCCCTACCAAGTTCAAAGGCACATTGGAAATCAATACATTATCTTTCATGGAAAAGGCAAACACTGTGTGTAATCATTTCAAATGACTGTATTTCCTTCTACCTGCATTTTTTAAAGTTGCCAACAGGGTCCCTTTAAGTACCATTAAGTATTCCTAAGTTCTGACCATTGCATTGTGGGAGCACCTGTGGTCTGGAGTATATAATGTGTGGTATACAGTGCAGCAGTTAGGAATACGTAATTGAATTACAAAATTACCCGCACTAAGCCAATATTTTTTTACCAGTGTAAATACTTCTACAAAAGAAAAAAAGAAAAACAAACAAATATATATACATGTATATATATATATGCGTGTGTGTGGTTACAAATAGTGATATAAATCCACAAAAAAATACTTAAAATTAGAACAAGGCTGCTGCTAAGACAAGGTTATACTCTGCAAATGAACAAATACAATCTCAAACCTCTATGTATCAGTGCAAATAAATATTCACATACATATTAAATGTTCATGTGCCATAAATATTAAAGTGCAGTCTATAGTGAAGAGAGTGCAATAATCTTCCAAACGGTTAGTTTAGAAATCACAGTGCCGTGCTCCACTCCTGTGTTCTACACTCACCAGCATCTGTGAACTCTTACATATAATGTTAAGTCATGTATGCAACTGCAGACCAGATATAAATTGATAGGACCAAATTTGCAATTCTGATGCTTTCATGTCTACCCTCCAGCATCCTTTCTGATTAAAACAGAGGAAACATCATCATCAAGAAGAAGACAAGATTGTCTGACACAAGCCTAGAGAAACTAACATTTATTAAAACAAATGTAGGACTGGATAAGTCAGCTGTCACCTATTATCATCACAACTGCCAGTGCTAATGCCAACCTGTATATATACTGTAGTTGTAAATAGGAATTTTTTTTTATACTATATTTACACAATTATGAGCAGTTTGACACAGATATCAGTAAAACTTCATACTTGTGAACTCTTTCAACCTCCCTGTTGCTTCCTTTCTATCTACCCTCATATCTGTTGCTTGTTAAAATATTGTACAGTTGATTTTTTTTGCTGCGGTGCCATGTGTGATGTGCGGGGTAGGGGTTCAATTCAGACAGTGCATGGCTGACATTGCATTTCTTGGTATTTTTGGTGGCACCTTAGGGTCCACATAATGCTTATGGGTAAAGCGGTGCCATGTGGGACCTGTAGGGCAAGGGTTCAACTCAGGCACTGCACATCTGACATTGTGCCAATTGGTATTTCCGTGGCACCTTAGGGTACACATAATGCTTATGGGTAAAGCGTGCCATGTGGGACCTGTAGGGCAAGGGTTCAACTCAGGCACTGCACATCTGACACTGTGCCAATTGGTATTTCTGTGGCACCATAGGGTCCACATCAGGTGCCGACTGACAATCCAGGGGGCCCCCGGGCAATGGGGGATCATTGGGCCCCTGTGTCCTTGCCCAAACTCAAAAAAGCCTATGAAAAAGGTACCGGGGCATCTCATGGATCCCCCTACTGACCACGGGCCCTTGGGCAGTGCCCGAGTTTCCAAATGGTCAGTCCGCCCCTGTTCCACATAATGCTTATGAGGTAAAAGCTGTCATGTGAGACCTGTGAGGCACTGATTCAACTCAGACACTGCATGTCTGGTATTGCATTGCTGGGTATTTCGGTGTCACCTTAGGGTCCACATAATGCTTATGGGATAAAGAGGGGTAAACTTTGCTTCGCACAGTACAGCAGGCATCATTCTGCTGGTTGAATGTAACTTATTGTGCGACTGGACTGTGTTGCAGAACAAGGAAGAATGTACCCCAATAAAATATTTGTTATTTACATTTATATAAAGTAAATTTTTTCAACAACAAAACAAAATAAATAAAATATACACATACAGCATTCATTTACTTTAAATCCACTGACATCTGCCCCGAACCCAAACTATTTTTTACATTTTATTGGTAGATCTACCCTTTAACTGCTTATAATATATTTCTGCTATAATGCAACAATGCAAAGGTGGTATTTACTTTTGTAAAGTAACAGTTTAACATGCATATTGCGAGGAACATATTATGAGATGATAAAAATGTAATCCAAGAATAACCTAATAAGATCCACTATATGTAATGTGCCAATTAGTAGTAATTTGCATAATCACAGGCAAGTTTCTAATAGCACTTTCATTGCTTGTAAAATGTGTCTTTATCACTCCATTATTTGAGGTAACAGTAATTAGCACAGAGCTAGTGTCAAAGCGCTGTTCCTGAACAGCCTCATAATAGCTTCGTACATCTCCCTGTAACTTCAGCTCTGCTTGATAAATGACAAAAAAATCTATCCCTGAAATAAAAATCAGAGTATTACCAGTCTCAGCTGGAACATATAGCTTATATAAAACATGGGTAAGAAAGGTCGATCACAATACTAAAATTGAAAAATTAAGCAGTTTAGGGCCGCTGGGATAAAACGAATTCCAAGATCCATTTTTATTATAGAATACAATGACCACTGGCCTGTGATTAGATCAATATATATAAAAAACAAAAACAGTGTAACGTCTGATGTTGGATGAGGCACTGAACGAGAAATTTGTGGATTGCCCTAGGGCGACAGTGAAACAAGTTCCAAATCTCATGGATCAAATGGTCTTCAGCCAGTTCCAGAATAAATGACATAAAGATGTACTAAAACATGTTCTAGAGTGTCAACTTATGTTAGGTGCATGTAAGGTTTCATAAAAATTAAAGCTGGAATGTAAATGCCAGAAATGTTATTTTCTCTAAAAAAGCTTGTGTCATTTTTTTGGTAAGTCAGTAGTTTTAAAGCATATTATTTGCAGAATGGATCTTAAGAGACAATTTTACAATTGTAACCCTTTACCAAAATTTTTTCGAATTTATAGAACTAATCTTCACTTTTACTGTATGAAAACTGAGCAATGATCTGACTAAAGGAGTCTTGAATAATCATTTCTTGTGATAAAAAAATTATAAAAGTACACCCACAGATTCAAACTAGACTATGTGAATCAACTTAGTGCTGATCAGCAGGAGCAAATGTGTGGAGTTCAATTATGATTGATAATGGGTAACAATCCAAAAAATTTACAGCTGCAAAAAATATATTCGTATACCATAGATATCTCTTTTTGCTGAATAGGTATAAAAACAATTAAGCCCCCCCCTTGACTTCACCCCCCCCCAAAGCACTGCTCCCCTTTACATCTACCCTCACAGCACTAGCCCACCTTTATATCCCCCCATGGCACTTGCTCCCTTCTTATCATCCCTCCCAGCACTGCTCTCCTTTACACCCCCCCACAGCACTTTCCTCTTTTTACATTTTCCCGCAACACTTGCCCCCCTTCATATTACCCCCCCACAGCCTTGCTCCACTTTTCATTCCCCCCACAGCACTGCTCCCCTTTCACATCACCCCCACCCCCCAATATTGTTCTCTGCCCCTCTGCAAATCACCCCCACACAGAAAGCACTGCCCTCTTCACATCTCCCCGCTGTCCCCCCACCTTCACATCCATGTACATTTGCCAAAATTCACTCTCCTACCTTACACAAAGCAGAGGGCAGGAGCCAGGATAGCATTGAACGGAGAGCGATAGGCACAACCACACTGAATCGAGCTGCCAGTAATAACTTTTCACATTAACAAGCTGGTGATTGGTTGGTAGAACTCCTCAGTGTCCTAGCAACCAATCACCTGCTAGATGATCTGGAAAGCTAACTTGTGCAACTCCTGCTCCTACCCTTCATCCAGTGCAGCTGTGCCTCTTGCTCCCTGTTCATTGCTATCCTGCCTCCTGCTCTCTGCACTGCCTTAACGTGTTACTAAACCCAGGACCGTGCATTCACTATATTTGGTCTCCCACAGTACACATGGAAATGCAATTATTTTAGTAAATATAAACTGCTAAATACCTTTTCTCATCAGTCTTGTGACTTCTACCAGTGTCCTGCAAAGCACTGGTTAAAGCTTGTAGGAGGAGTTTTCATTCTCCCCTGATTGTCCTATGAGGCTGCATAAACCCTGACTCTCTGTCTGGACAGCGTTGATTGGTCTTGTGCTGATCACATGCACTCTCCCAAGAAAAAAAAACTCTCTAGCAATACACACAAAACTGAGCATGTGCAACATGCCCCGAAGGCTCTGTTCTATCAGCAAATGGACTGGAGAAGAAGGGGAGGATCAGAGAAGACAGGATCAAATATCCTTTTTACACAATGCGGAGGATTATACTCACAGTGAGTATAATAAGCATGCTGTACTGCATGTATAGACTGATTTTACTGTTGTGGGGTTAATAACACTTAAAAAATGACAATGGTGGAGGCCAAGGGAAAGAAGCAGCTCCGAAACGGTGTGATCACGGGTCCAAATGAGACAGTGGCTTGGTCCGGATCCGGACCACAGTCTGCCATTTAGTGATGCCTGGTTAAATGATGGATGGTACTATTATAAATTTAGAGATGTGTACCATGATTAAAAAAACTGTATCACAAACACCCTATCTTAGTTTTCCATAAAGCAAGGAAGGGTTAGAAACCCTCTCATATTTTCATGGTTATCTATCTCCCCACTAGGGAGGTTCACTTTCTCTAATTTCCTTGGTATAGGAATATCTAAACTTTTTAGTTGTCTCTAGAACAAAAATTGAGGAAAAATCTTTCAATGGGTATCCTTCCAATGTGTCCTTCACATTGAAAAAATTTCCTCTCACTTTCTGTTGTGCCTACAGAACAGGAAGCTAAAAGTAATTTACCCAATGTGACAAAAGACAAAAACAACATATCCTACTCTATATATAAATGAGCATTTTGCCTTTTGGGCGATTTAGCATGACTGTATGTGTTCCAGTGTGGAATGTATGCAGGATAATATAAACCTTGAGTACAGGTACAAAGTCTTCACTTAATGACCAAATTCTATTCCAAGTCAGTTGTTTGGCAAATTGGTCAGTAAGTGAGGAACTGTATACAGTACACATACCGACCGAGAGCTGGTCATAAGTCTGAGAGATGGTCGTTAATCAAGGAACTGAGCTGGTTTTATGTCTGAGAGATGGTCGTTAATCAAAGAACTGAGCTGGTTGTAATTCTGGGAGATGGTCGTTAAGCGAGAAACTGTGTACACAAACCATTGGAAAGCATGTCCTAAATCTGAGAACTGGTCATTGAGCAAGGAATTGTATCCATTGGAGAGCAGGTCATAAGTCTGAGTGGTTGCTAAACAGGTAGGTTGTCAAGTGAGGAGTATCTGTATAACATTAATAACCAATATAATACTGTATATCAAAGAGCCTTCAGTTATGGATTAATTCAACAGTAAGATTGTAAGTTCAGCTGAAAGATTAAAAAGGCTTTCAGTTAAAGTGACCACTTTGTAAGATAATGTACAGGAATGGAAAGTACTAAGGTGAGTTTATGGGGACAACAAAAGAAGAAAATTTGGATGAATGTCCCCAATACAACAAAGCTATTGTCTTGGCCTCCAAATTCTCCAGATCTTGATCCAATCGAGCACCTGTGGGATGTGCTGAAAAAACAAGTGGGTTCCATGGAAGCCCCACTTCACAGCTTACAGGACATAAAGCATATACTACTGATGGCTTAATACCACAGCATACCCTCAGAGGTCTGGTGGCATCCATGCCTTGATGGGTCAGGGTTGTTTTGGCAGCAAAAGAGCTGTTTTGGTGGTAAAAAGGGGGACGTACTCAATATTAGGTGAGTGGTCATAAAGTTATAGCTGATCAGTGTATATGCACTTCACCTGCATATTTAATGGTTTGTTTATAGAGGGCCTGTAAACTTGCTTGGTATACCTTAAAAGTCAGGATACCAGTTTAACTGGTTCCCTGCCGCCCTATAGCAGAACTACTGCTACAGGGCGGTAGGGCTGCGCAAAATCACTTATATATACGTGATTTTGCATTTCAGGGTATGGAGCGTTGATCACCGCCATTACTAGTATAAAAAAAAATAAAAAATTAAATTCCAGTATATATACCGCCATTTGTAGATGCTTTAACTTTCAGAAACCAATTAGTTTACATGTATTGGTATTTTCTTTTAGCAAAGACATGTAGCAGAATATATTTTGGCCTAAATTTATGACAAAATTTATTTTTTTTTTTTAATTTTTTTTACTGGATATGTTTATAGCAAAAAGTAAAAAATATTGTTTTTTTTTTCAAAATTGTTGGTCTTTTTTTGTTTATAGTGCAAAAAATAAAAAACGCAGTGGTGATCAAATACCAAAAGAAAGCTCTATATGTGGGAAAAAAAAGGACATGAATTTCATTTGGATACAGCATTGCATGACTGCGCAATTGTCAGTTAAAGTAATAGAATGCTTGGTCAGGAAATGGGGGAAAATCCTCTGGAGGGCAAGTGGTTAAAGGTAAACCAACCCAACAGTTATATGTGCTTTGTTCAGATGCTGAAGGGTAGTTTTGAGTTGTTGTTTTTTTCATTACCTCTCCACCTGATTCAGTTATTTCAAATAGGTCTCCCTGTTTTTGGTGGGGAGAAATGGGTGAGGCTTACTGGCTTAGGGCAGAGCTGGGAACTACAGCAGAGAGATCCACCCTTTGAACCCCTTTAAGAACGTAGATGTCAGTGGGCAATTTGGTGCAAAATGTCTATTACTTATTGTTATTACATATGTTATTATGTATGTTCCTAGTATTTTCCATCACATCTAATAAATGTTTTGGAATAGATAATTATACTCTGCTAAAATTAGCCCTCTTATCAAACCGTCTTTTGCCACAACTAAAATTAGCATTTAGTTTAATCCCATATAACTTTATTCCTATTGAAAAATAGACCACGTCCATGTATCACAGACAAATTTCCTCAAACAAGTTATTCAAATATCTCAAAACACTGAACATCTGGGGAAATAACTCAGACTAAAGTGATGAATTTCCATTATCTTTCTTTGGCAAAGATTTATTTCACATGTCTCCTTTCTCTAATACAAGATATAATGCTGCTATGACAGCTTCACTCTCTCTCCAAGATGTATCTATTGCAACTTCATCTTTTTTCAGCATTCAACAGTACGCTCACAAAAGAGCTAAAGGGATTCGTCAAATCAAAGGTATTAATGGGCTGACTCCTGGGCTGGGGATATCTGGTGGGACTACCAATTTAATGCACACACTTCACAAGCAGACTGAACACTGAACTCAAAGTTGGAAATGAACAGGATCCAGGGAGGAATCAACTTAATAGCAGAAATTCCATCATAAGCTGAAACTCTGCTGAGTCCCTGTGGTGGAGAGAATGGTGGGGTGGACTGAGAGTAGATATAGATATTATACTTAAAGGATGTCATCCAGTACAATGGACTTTTCAAATGTCAGAGGTTTAGCACAGGCTGAACATATCTTAGGGTTTCCTACTGCAGAAACAAAGTGACAGCGGCTACCTTTTAGCATACAGCTGTATGAAAGGTACACGAAAGCCTGATTCTTCCACTAGGGACATTTGCATATGAAATAGACTGGTCTGGTGAAACATTTAAAGTGTTTGTAAAGTCAGTTTTTTTTCTTTTAAAATAACAAACATGTTATACTTACCTGCTCTGCACAATAGCAGTGCATAAAGGGGCCCCAGTCCTCATGTTCTCAGGAACCCAGCCAGTGGGAGCCATCAGTCAAATCCTGTGACAAGGGAGCAGGTGAGGTGCGGGACTCACCCTTGCTGTTTGTGTCTATAGATGCAGGTAGCGCATCTTGGGAGCAGGGGTGGACTGACAACTCATGGGGCCCCCGGGCAATAGGGGATCATGGGGCCCCTGTGTCCTTGCCCACACTCAAACCACACTCAAAAAAGCCTATGAAAAGGTACCGGGGGCATCTCATGGGGCCCCCTACTGACCCCGGGCCTTTGGGCAGTTCCCAAATGGTCAGTCAGCCCCTGCTTGGGAGCGAGTCTACAGGTGTATCACCATAGGAAATGACACTGCTGCTGTCAGTAAAGCCTGTGAGGGGGGGGGGAAGAAGAGGAGAGAGCCACTGAAGACAGGCACAGCGCTGGCTCAAGATCTGGCTCAAGTAAGTACAGTATTGGGGGGGGGGGGGGGTTGAGGGGGCGATACACATACTGAAACATTTTTTCACCTTAATTCAGGGAATTAATTAAGGTGAAAAAATGTTTAGGCTTTACAACCACTTGAAATCATTATTTCCAGTATAATCAATCCATCTGAGATACAGGAATAGAGTCAGAGGCGGACTGACCATTTGGAAACTCGGGCACTGCCCTAGGGCCCGGGGTCAGTAGGGGGCCCCATGAGATGCCCCTGGTACCTTTTTCATAGGCTTTTTTGAGTTTGGGCAAGGACACAGGGGCCCCATGATCCCCTATTGCCCAGGGGCCCCATGAGTTGTCAGTCCGCCCCTGAGTAGAGTACACGCATTGTGCACAATTACCTTACAGAAGCATGGGTTAAGGTGAAATGAACAAACACTGCTGCCGTTGTGTACATACATATTTAGAAAAACTGTGCATAGAAACAAGGGTTTGGAAACATTAGCACGCTTTCCATGTTGTGAAATGTTTAATAGCATTAAGCTAAACACGTTTTTAAAGTGGATCTAAACTCTCTCAATCAACATTAACTATTTTTAATCATTATGCTGCTAGTAAATAGGAAGGTATGCTATATTTACTTGTTTCAATTTTTTTACATTTCGTTATTTAATTTCTGGTTTCTGGCCTAGACCAAAATAATAACATACATCCCAGGAGTCTTTTTTATTTTTCGCACCATCCTGCCTGCATGCCTGAGCTAAGGGCAGATGGGATTCCAGGAAGTAAATACTATATGAATCATCTGCTCTTACTCAAGATGGCCCTGGCTAAAATTGCTAGCAAGGTCTTTTTCAAAGTGATTGTTCAATAGAACACAGCATGGAGAAAGTAATGGATGGGTGAGTTTGCTAGGAATATCAAAAATGAATTGAATAGTGTTTTCAGTTTGTTACAGTTTTGTTCTGCTTTAAAAAGAATATATAATAATCAAAACCTATAGAACCCCTTTAAAAGCATATTCCAAATTTTACTTTATGTTCTGTAATTCCCCTTCTTTAGACTCTAAAATAAATTTACTGTGACATTTTGGATATTCACAATGATCCCACTACGTTTTTCCCATATGGTGCATCCTGGTCCCAAGCCACCTCTGTATTTTTATTTTTAGCACATTGTGTGTTGCTTCAGTAATGGCCAAATACATTACAGAGAAATCAAATTGATCA